GTTTATCTTCTAGTTAAATGATTGAACACTAAAGGAACTGGAATGATATTTTGGCTGCCATATTTGAGGGCATTCGTAATGCTGCCAATAAAATAAAATGCTAAAAAATACAACGCCGAAAATAAAACGCTCAGAATTCTAGTTCTTCAGCTTTTCCACACAATTTGTGCAAGGATGCATTTGATGAAAGCTCAAAATAGACAACAATATCTGTACTTCAGTACAAACAAGTAAACTGAATCCTGCAAAAATGTCTAAAATAGCACTAATATGGAACGTTTCAACCGATCATTTGACTTGTATCGAGTTGTCGTTCCAGTTTTCTTAGAGTTCAATGGGTTTATTAATAGAGTTCTTGATACATGGACTATGACGTCACACGAAATTTGACTAAAAATTGTCGGTATAATCTGCCTCACTTTGTGATGCATCACTAACGGACATTGCGGCCAGAGAGCATGCTTAGATTGTACATGTTGACGTGTACAATGTACATGTTGACATATGAATATTAATGAGACGAACTATTAAATTATTTCAAGATATAGTCGACAACGTCTTTAACTTATTGATAGAATTTTAAAGTTAACAAAAGGCTAAAGGCCCCAGGACGATATTAGGTGACTCAAGAATAATAAACAGAAATGTTAGGCGTTATTTTGATTTCACCTGATTGCGTTTGCCCCCAGTTTTACAAAATGGCGTCCCAAACTCCGAAAAGGCGTATTAAGTGCAGTTTGAGAGAGATACAACTACCCGAAAAATATAAGCAGAACTTCGACGTTTCCAGGCCCTTCGTTGGGAAGTTACTAGAAAAGGCCCTTCGTCAAGTTAGTAGCTATAAGGCCCTTCGTAGGGAACGACGAAGGGCCTTATTACTTCCCCACGAAGAGGGTCTTCGCTCTAACTGTAGAAGTTCTGCTTATATTTTTCAGGCAGTTGTATTTCTCTCAAGGCTAGTTTCCACTCGGGAAAATTATCCGGAACGGACAAGAAAATTTTTCTTTGTGTTAAAGGGAAATGGCAATATATTTTTTATTCTCTCGTTCGAAAGAACATTTAAAACCATATATAAAACTCTTTTACCGGTTTTTTCATATCTTGCTTACTTCTACAAATATTTTAATCGAAAGAAATGAATTGTCCGCCATCTTGGATTTTTGTAGATATGGATGTTACGTCACAACAGGGGTCACGCAATATTTTTATCAAGACAACCACTAATCATTTTGCGCTCAAAATCATACTCTGTATATGTTGGAAATATCAAGATCACTTGAAACCTTTAAAACATTTACCAATCAATATTTGGTTAGCAACGAGTACTTTTATATGCTTCATCCCTGTTGTGACGTCACCAAAACTATGGTTAATGAGATCAAAAATTTATCCAAGATGGCCGATATCTCATTACTTCAAGTGAAAATATTTCAAGAACTAAGCAAGATATGGAGAATCGGTAAAATAAGTTATTATATAGTTTCAAAAGTTCTTTCAAATGAGAAAATAAAAATATATATTGCCATTTCCCTTTAGAGTCATTAGTTCCAACCCAAAGCTCACAAGACAAAGAAAAATTTTCTTGTCCGTTCCAATCCACGGATAATTTTCCTGAGTCGGAACTAGCCTCAATCAGCAGCTGTCTTGTTATCGTCGCTATCTAAACTGGCAGGGACCGGTCGAGATTATCTTAGCATTATATTACCTGCTAATGATTTTTTTGAGGAAAAGGGAATTCATTTTTTTTTCAAGAGTTTAAGAACTCGAATTTGGCATCATAAGTAGTTCCTTCTTTCGTTTATGCGACTATACGGACTTCGCTGAATCCATTCATTTGGCCTTCCATGGCTGTCATGTCCAATTCTACTTGAATTAGAGCACGAATTCTTCAACTCCCGGACCTGTGCGGAATATGTTTTTAAGGCAGTTTTATGATATACCATACCCAGGTTCCAGAGGCTCTTAAAGAACGGGAGACAAAATAACGGCGAGGCGAAATAAATACGAGGCGAAAGAGCCTCTGGTCAAATCGTTTGAAAATATCACTTCCATACTTGACTAGGTTCAGAATCTGAACCTCGTATGTGATTAATGGCTGTTTGTAAAACATGTCAAACCGGTTTGGAAAATCAACAAACATTGAACTAAAGCCCCGTTTACACTACGCTCAATTTTTGGTACGGCACGGATAAAATAGGTACCCGTACCACTTTTTTGGTTCTTGGACTATCTATTTAGTTATAAGAACCAAAAAAAGGGGTACGGTACCAAAAATCGTCGCCGTTCTTTAAGAGCTTCTGGAACCAGGGTAGATATACCATAGTCCCGTGTTCAACGATGCGGTATATGCATGCATAATTCCTCATTAACGTGACTTGACACATCTTGAAGTGTTCCACATAGGCCCTTTGTCTTACTCTTTTGTTTACAAATCCCAAAGCTCTCCATGCTGTCCAGCAACTTATTGTTTTCAACTATTTTTAGTGCAAAGAGCCTGTTGAGACACTTTCAGTTTTTTACGACTTTGTCCAGACTTATGCTGAATGCGTGTATGTTATGGTCCATGTTTGGAAAGTGTTTTATGAACTATCAAAGTACCGGACAATTTGATGCACCGCACGACCTCCAAAAAGCGTCCTGTTCTAAAACATGGACTTTTTCGCGTGTAGCGTTTCGCGCATAATTTTTTTACCTTTTCGTGACGAGTGAAAAATCAATCACACATAATATCAGTCATGAATGAAATCAGTCGTGAATAAAAATATTCGTGGATAGCTAATACAGCAAGAATGTCCATATTTTTGAGGTCACGCGGTGGACTGATACTTTGATAGTTCATACCAGGCCATAGGCCCCGAGACGTGGAGGCAGGGGAGGGAGTGTAACTACCCCGAAATAAAAATTGGTCAAATTTTAAACGTAAGTTGTACAATTTTTAATGTAAGTTGGGCAAACAGATGGGGGAAATTAATTGAAAACAAGAAATGTGTAAGATAATGGTCGAAAATGCAAGAAATATGTAACGTGGCCAAAAATTTTAATCGAGGAAAAATTCCCCCTCCCCACCCCTGAACAAGTGTTTTGGAAGTTTACCAGGCAAAACGTTTTTCGATTGGTAAGGCAAAATGCAACAAAGTCGGGCAAATTTCTTTCTCCCCCTATTTTTTCCCCTTCTGTAATCCTGCATGCATAACACCATTTAGTTTTTGATAACAGCCTTCTCAAAAGTAAAATTTTCATATTAGGTTAGGGAAAAACAGCAGACCATATGGTGTTAGGGAAAACAGCATACCATAAAATAACCATATTTACATAATTTTGTCAGAAAATTTGTGGATTTTTAAAGCTTATATTAGTGGCCACCTTACAATTATGAACTTTTTTTATACATTCTTTGTTCTTTATAGAAAGTTGTCGAGTACGTTTCAATATATTGTTTCTTCATTACAGGTTTACTAATGCTCTTGTGTACTTTGGTGTATCGTTTGGTTCTGTGGATCTTGGTGGGAATATATACCTGAACTTTTTCTTGATCAGCCTTGTGGGGGTTCCAGCAAATTTTGCTCTTATGTGGGCTGTTAACAGGTTTGAAAACATTGAATTAAGCTTGGAATATTTTTGCATATGACGTCATAGGAATCCCAATAAATAGTTGTAACAAATAAAAAGCGTTAAATTTATCTAATTTTGAAAATTTGCATTGTACTGTGTTACCGTGCTCTGACTGTTTTCAATCTTGCGTTGTGAACAAGACCGCATAAATAACCAGACGTTGTTTAGGTTTGTGACCTTTCAGTTCTCTCAGATAACGTCAAAATACGAGGCTAGCCTATAATTCGAAAATGTGCTTGGCAAGTTGTGAGGTATGTTTACACACATCGATTAATCGGGCCGATTCAGCTTTACTTAAACGATATTTGAAAAATACGCTGTCAACGTCATCTGACGACATCGTTAACTGATAATATTCCTAACATTCGGCAAAACCCGGAAATTGGCTGATTAGTCGTTGCGTGTAAACGTAGCTTTAGCACTCAGTTAGGTCACATAACTGTCGGTCCATAATTACCTGCGGAATGAGAAACGAGAAACCGCTCACATGTTTGCTGCAAACCGAAGACCAAATGCAAAAAGACGTAACTGAAAACCGCAGAAGATACCATTATACCAAAAACCGAAAAATCGATCTCAAACATGGCGAAATCCGAAAATCCGAAATTCACGACGCCCCCTCTTTGTTCGTGTCTCAACCGCAGTACACCGAAGTGATGACGAGCAAATCTAGTTTCAACTTAAGACAGTAAACGAAATTTATTAAAAGTATCTTTTTCTTAGGTTTGGTCGTAAAGTATGTGTTATCACTGGTTTGATTATCACAATCGTGGCATCCTCAATTTCGGTCTCAATACCAGCAGATCAGAATCCAGGTTTGCATACATATGTTGTTTGCTATCTGACCGCAAACAATTACTATCTCATTATTATGACATTAACTGCTTAACTGGTAAACTCGACTCTCTTTTCCAGCTAATATTGGTGGTCGTATCACTGCGGCTATTATAGCAAAGTTTTTTATTGGCTTTTCCTTTAATGGTTGTTATGTATGGACAAGTGAACTCTACCCAACAGTTATAAGGTATAACACCAAAAATTATTTTGTACTGGTGGTCATGCATGTTTAAGTGCACGTCGCATGGAAGTTGTTATCGATCTACAAAAATGTTGTAACAAGGTTGGAATTGTTGTCCAGCCGACACCAGGACGTGTTCGCACTGTTTGTTCCTACAATCATGGCCAATTGTTGTAGAACGACAGGTACAATTTCAGAGTTCCTGTCTTCTAACTTTAAAATCCCCCCCCTCCTCCCCCCTACCAATGTTTCTATTTTAATGAACTGGACACAACACAATGACAGCTTATTCACAGATACGTCAACATTGAAAGGGGGTGGGGTTCCTGCATGGAAAAGGGATGATAAAATGAACTTGCGCACGTGCTTATGTTATTGCCGCGGGTTCCACAAACAATTGACCACGGTTAATGCAGTTCGGTTGTGATAATCGCTGCATGCGTTTGTTAGTCTGTTAGTTTGTTCGAAATCAGCAACCTGGGTATTTATTGAAAAGTATTATGTGTTCCCGCTTGTACCGCACTATGTTTGTTTCTGGAACAAGTTGTTATCACCTTGTTACAAGGTTGATGACGGTAACAGATCGACGTGCTACAAGTTCTTCCAACAAGACTATTAGAGGCTGATCGTAAAGAGTTGCTAAGAGCTTGCTGTAACCAACTTGTTACGTGTGGATGATATCTGACTTGTTAGAATAAATTGTTTCGAGTCTGTTGGCCTCATCAACCTTGTTACAAGATGATAACAACTTGTAAGTTCAAACACATCATGTTGACAAACTGTGATATTTTTACGCGTACACACAATTTAATCGACGTTAAAAATAAAGTCGCACATATTACTCTTAACTGCCAATACACATTATGTAAGATTTTATTTATTTATTTTTATCTTCAGAGCAACTGGGATGTCCACATCTTCCTCAGCAGCCAGAATTGGTTCATTTGCTGCCAGCTACATTATTTGGCTTGTAAGTAACTTCTCTGCAACAAACTGAACACTGTTATCGTCGTTGACACCTCTATTGTGACTATTGTATGAAGTTTTCATTAATACGCAGAGTACTAGCACCGTTATCGATCTCTTGTACCATTGTCTTCATTTGAAGTAAGATTTCTAATTCAACGTACAGTAAGGGATGGAAGGATCTTCAAATCCGAGCAGTGACGTGAAATATAATATTTCATGCTGCATTAGAAAATACTTGACCAGTATTTAAAAACAATAGACAACATTTCCAAACAAGTTATTTCTTCCAACCTCCGCCAGGAGTTTATGTTTTCATCCGCGTTAGTTGTGTATGTGTGTGTCATGGTGCAGCCTCGTACTCAGGCTCTTTTGTAATTAATAGCCAACGATGGCTCTGGGTACGAGATTGGTTTGTATGTCGGCACGATAACTTAAAAAATCCAAATGTGATGAACAACTTGCATGTTAGACTAAGTTTTAATCTAAGTAAAGAGAAGGGAATCAAACATCACAGCTAAAAAGAACATAATGAAATTAGTAAAATTGCAAAATTTGGTTGCGAAAGGTTGTAAAGCTTGGAAATATATAGTCTTGCAAAGTTTGCAAATTGTGTATAATTATGTTTGTAGGCTATTACGTGCGAAAATTGTTACTATTTTCAGCTCAAAAATGGTAACAATTTCCGCACGTAATACAAACGTATACAAAATATGCAAACTACGCAAGGCTATATTTTCTGTATTTCAAAACATCTCGTAAGTCATAACCAAATTTTACTTATTTTAATAAGTTCTTTACGGGAATTTACTTTTTTTGCCTAGATCAAAAATTAGTCTGACATGCATATTGTCTATATTACGAAAATTTTGAGGTGGGCGGTGGGGTGGGAGTGAGGGTCAGGTTATCAATGTGTCTGTATGATGATATACGTATACATCATACATAAAAGTACACCTGTTTGATGACATACATGTTCGTGTATCCTTTTTTTCCAGATTCGTATTCATGTAGCACTGCCGTACAGTATATTCGGTGCTATTTGTCTTCAGGCAGCCCTACTGGGATTATTGTTACCAGAGACCAAGGGTGCAGCAACCTTGGAGACAATGGATGACATGAAGACGGAACAGGAAATGTCTTTGCATGTATTTGCCAACGATTAGCCATAGTCTATCAAGATATGATGGTCTGGAAAGTGAACAGAAGTCATTGTGTTATATTTTTGTCTGCGTTTATGTTGATTTGTGCATGGTAACGGGGATTGACTCATTGTAATTTCGTATAATTTAAGTGCCTATGCAAGAATTTTTTTATGATTGAATTGCAAAGTTCGTTTAAGATCATAATGTAACATATTTTCTAAAACTTTGTTACCTTTCCTGTATGTCAAGATTTTCGACTTTGTTTGATATGCAGAACTGACTTAAATGACGTCACACTGTATAATGAGTTTTTAGAAAGAAAACGTTTCCCTGCCAAACATGTGATAAGTCCACTTACCTGGAAAGTTATATACTTTAAGAAGTATCAAAACTATCATTTCGTCTGCAAATTTGAGTCAATGACAATTTTATCAAGCTAAAAAACAGTCTTCTGTAAAACATATTGTGCAGTGTGACGTCATTTAAGTCATGCTTGCATGCCAAACAAAGTCCAATATCTTGATATACAGGTAAGATAACAAAGTTTTAGAAGAAAAGTTACATTATGATCTTCAAATCAACTTTGCATTCAATCATAAAAGAAAGTCTCGCATGAACACTTTAATGAAGTAATCGTCCAATAGCGACGATGAGATGAATCGTGCAACCACGATGAATAATATTTAATTGAGTTAAGACAAAGGGTTTGTACATAGTGAGGTACAGTGAGGACCAACACGAAACAAAGGTATTCTCAATTTTTGGAGAATATTTTTGGAGGACCAACACGAAACAAAGGTATTCGCGATTTTTGTAAACACAAAAATGTGCCCTTTTCTTCAAGGGAACGTGCCATTTTTGAGTCATGAAATGTGTCTTATGGTATACTATAAATCTAAAATACAAGATCTCTATATAGACATTTATATAGCTAAATGTTGCTTTGGAGTTCTAATTATGCAAGATATATCTCGGGTATATCTTATTCAGAAAAACGAACGTCGAATTAGGTTTCTTGAGGAAATTTTGAAATGGGTTATGATATGATAAATATACACTCTATTCTGCCTATTTAATTTCTTGTAATACAGTCAATGCATAAAACCAGGAAGTACCTTGAACAGGGCTCGAATTTTATCGCGGCAATCACGGCAATTGCCATAGAGGGAGAACAAAATGGCGTGAATTATTGCGGCAAAGACGGCAATTTTTTGCCGTATAGTATAATTTTTATACTATTCATTGTGCATTACTATTTTGGTACTTCGGAATTCAGATGTTGATCAAATCATGCGTAAATCACTATTTTAGTCTCAGCTTTCTTCGAAAAAACAACACTAAAGAAATACGTAGACATGTTTCTAGCTTGTAAACATCCAAAGTAACAATAAAATTACAGTTTTATTACAGTAATTTGAAAAATGCCTTGGAAACTGCCAAAATTGCCGTAGACAGCTGTTACGTTCCACGGCAATTTTTAACGCCATTGCCGTCGATTGATTTTAGGGAATTTCGAGGCCTGATCTTGAAGTAATATTTAAAATCCGTCTAGCTATGTGGACTGTACTGGACTAGATGTCAAGTCGGCGCAATTTGAAATCTAGTCCAGTCCGAATTGGAGGATTTGTAATGACCTCTCATACGAATAAATCACTACTTAATGTGAGGTGATTAATTTTGATTCAGTCCAAGGACTGAATTAATTTCGATCTAGTCCTAGGACTGGATCAATATACTTCACCGGGTATCCATTATTATCATGTCAGCAAAATAATGCAATATGGTTGGCTAATTCACTCATGAATTATTAATGAGTTTGAGATCTAAATAAGCTAATAACTACTTTCCAGATGTAGGGGGGAGGGATGTGATTACTATATGGGAAAGTGCTCTTTTTTTCAGTGCTCCCGCCCCCCACTTTTGAAATGCTTCCGCGGCCTTTGGGTGTTCTATTTAATTTGTGGCTTTGAAGTTGGCTGGGCTTCCACACCATCATATCTTGACAGACTATGGATAAATACAGTACTCAGTTACAACTTTACGTCATTAATATTGTTTATTTACTCGATTTTCATTGATTAAAGACTGACCGATCCTGGGCTTAGTTTGGTCAAATATTTTTTTATAAATAGCGTAATGAGCAGATGGCTTTCAGCAATTTAAATTGGTATGTTTTAAGCATATAACGCTGTAAAACGATATGGAAAATAAATAATTTTGGTTAGTTTACCTTCTGCATTGTCTTGTTGCGTAGAAAAGAATCTATTGCATTGAAACTGAAGGCTTTTTATCGCTTCGTTTTAGAAGTTTGTCAGCCATGCTAGAACTAAAGTAACAAACGCAACTGATCTCAAATATACTTCAATACTGGAATTTTATTGGAATTCATTATAACCATGAACCATTGAGCAAAAAAATAAGACTAAGGAAAATTTTTTTTCAGTACGGACCTCTAAAATATATTTTTCATTTACTTATTCATTTTCTCAACGTTGATTGGCTAATTTTCCTACAAATATCTGGTGAGAATAATATGTCAGCAGGAATAACTGATGCAAATATTGGTCTGAGCATGCGCAAATTAGAAATCAATTCTCAATTGCAAAATATCTATTTACGCGCGCGCATTTTTTAAAAGCAATTCAAATAAACACAAAAGTAAACATGGCTCGTTTTGCTGAGCTTTCAGAAGACGACATGGTGTCTTCGTTAGAAGGAGGAGACGCAGTGAATACAAAAAAAGCAACCAAATGAATAATTCGAAAATGAATAAGTAAATGATAAAACAATTATTGAACTCTGTTAAGGGCAAATAATTGATCTACTCAGTTGCTTTTTTTTGTATTCACTGCATCTTTTCCTTCTAGCGAAGACGCCATGTCTGATATTTTGCTCAACCAGTCGTCCAATAATTGTATAGTATTTTAGTACAGTATGGAGTTAAAAACATACAGACGGCGAAAAGTATTTTACAAGAGACAATTCCTTATAACTTCTAAGAAGGGATCTGAAAAGATGACGAAAACAACGTTTTACTAAAGTTTGAGTACACAAATTTATTGATTATTGAAGTAATAATAAATACGTATCACAAAGAAACTTGTCAGCTAGAGCACTGTGTCATACTGCATAGACTATTAAACTTTGTCCTCTGCAAACACTTTCCATGCTTTTTTCATATAGCCTACTTTCGCGCACGGCATTTTCTGTCACAGAGCCTCATTACCCTCTAGCGCACTTTCTCTGTTCGCCTCACTGATCTCAAAACTATATGTCAAAGGACAATAATTTGTAACTATACGATAGGACAATAATTTGTCCTCTAATTCCTTCACTTAAATCTTTAGCCATCCTTGACGCCAAAATTAAAATCAAGTTCATTATTGAGCTAAAAGGCAACGAACAGGTAATGCACAAGTGACATGTTTCAATTTCCATCTGTTGACATGCATGTGCGAGGTGATTCAATGCAAGCGTTCCTGGAATGGAACCACCTCCACAAGCCACACATACAATGCCGCTTTTATCAATGACTATTTCACAAAGACATGTTCAGCATAATTTTATCTCTATATTTATAGAAGCCATATTAAACTAGAATACGGTAGATATAAAATGTTAATATTTTTAACGCAATACCTTTTAACTGTTATCGGGAATAAATTCCACATTGTTGATAAAAAGTTTGTCGCGCACTATACGTACTCTTTGTTTTTCTGCTTTCGCTCTTCTCATCTCGGCGTATAGTTTCTGCTGCACTTTCTCGATTTCTTCTGGAAACTGTTCGAAGATCCCAATCCTTGTTCCCTTCCGTTTCCTGGCGTTAATGTGGATTTTCTCTCGATCCGGGAAAAGTTAAATTTGGCGACGATAGCTCTCTCGGCTTCCTGCAACTATCGCGTTTTCTGCCAACTCTATGCGCTCGGTCAATTTAATACTTTGACGGGCATCTGGCATATCCAGCTTCTCCTCTAGCAAGCTATAGATTAGCTCAGCGCAATTTTCTTCATCAGATTCTTCAATATTGTGGAACAGTAGGTTGTCCCGCATTGATCTCGCTTTAAGGTCGACCACGCCTTCTTGAAGCCTCTTGTTTGACTCTTCGTGTTCGTCAAACCTCGTCACATTTTTTCTTCAGTCCTCTTTCTCTGCTTCATCTCTTCCTTGAGATCAGCGACTTCTGCGTGAACAAATTCGATGGACCAAGTCTGGATCTTCACATTTTGCTCGACAGATAAACATACGCTCGTTCATCAAGTCGAGTCTCCAATTTCCACATGACAGATTTCATCATGTTGTTGTTGTCTCTTCGACATGATATATGTTATTTTTTAACAGTCAGAATGAAGCAATCTGACTGGCTGGGGAGCCTTTCAGAGCAGGCCGGGTTTTTGCAACTGCCCGTTCTGAAACGCAACTGCCCGCTGTGAAATGCAACTGCCCGCTCTGGTTTTCGCGGCAAAAACAATGGAGTGAAACAATTTTTAAACGAAAAAATCTGCCCAAAACGTTTGAAATGGACAGCCTCGCAATAGTAAAAATACGAAAATGAATTGCATCAAGCCCTAAAGACTTCATACTAAGCACGATGTACACCAGAATTGACAATATTTTGAGAGAAATGCGACTGAAAGTCGGAAAGTTATTTGACATGTATAAAACTTACGCCAAGAAAACTATATATTTTTTAAATGCTCGTGTATTCGGCCACTTAATAGAGAAAGAATTACAGCTTAAACAGATATTGTAAAATAAATATTTTCCATGCATTTAAAGGAAGGTTTAAATGCAGCAGTGAAAACAAGTCACGAATATATTCTCTACCCAGTTGTGTCAGGCATTTTTCACTGCATGGTATAAATATTGTAAACAACGTAAAAGTCTGTGTTTAAAACACTTTTTTCAAGCATATTATCGTGAAACGACCGGAACTAATACAAAAATATAAAAATAGCATACCTTTTCCATTGTCCTTCTCGTAGAAAAACGTTGATTAAATCAAAACAGATTCATTTTTATGT